TTGAACTTTCAAATAATAATGTATACAATTAATACATTTGTATACCAAAGATTAGCTGTCTAGATGTAATTTTAAAATGCTATACATTATTAACAATATATCAATTATTATAAATTCTAGTGATCTTCCAACAAAATTTGTTCAGGTGAAATTGAAGCAGTTGTGTTGGCGCTTCTCAGTCTCATAGTTTTCTGAATCTTTGTACTTTAATCCAACCATAATCTTTTTGTTCTATAATTTTGCTAATAATGATAACCAACACTATTTATGCATATATATTGATATGTATGTATGTGAACAATGAATCTTTTATGTAATATTTAAAACGAATATTTGAGTAGGTAGCACAAAATATTATGAATTTTTATTCAAGCCCTATTTGTACTAGTATAAACATAAATTTGTATTTTTTTTAAATGTTTTTAATTTACAAAAATTATGTATTGACTAATTTAGAAACTTCCTCCAATTTCTAATTAATTCATTAAAACATATACAATTGAACTGTATACGTTACCTTATTCTATGAACTAAACTCTGTAATCAATCAAGTATGATGTATTAAAAGTGGTAATCGGTCAAAAAGTCCGGTATGGAAATAATTGGACAAAAAGTCCAGATTCATTTTTTGATTACCGGACAAAAAGTCCGAACACATTTTTAGTGTCGGACAAAAAATCCAAAAATACAAAATTGTCTAATTTGTCATAATCGTGTAATTATAATATTTTATATATAATATATTTTTTTTTTTTTATTTTCTTATTCTTATTATTTCTTATACCTAACATAAATACAACAGAAATTATCAAGATTTATATTATAATCCTGGTAATAACGCTATTGTAGCATGTAGATTGTAGGTATGATATTATGGTAGATAAACTATAGACGTATGGTTGCATAAACATTAGATCCATAAGACCTACCTACCAAACTATAGCGGATTTCCGTAATATTTTTTTTAGGTATAAGAAATAAGAAGAAATAAGATAATATTAAAAAAAGTAGGTACAATGGTATAATATAATGAAAGTATTACAATTACATTTATTATATTTTTTACACATCTACTTTTTATGTTTCAGTTACAAAAATGGGTCGCTTAGCTACTGTAGCCGTAAGCTGCTTGAATCAGTGGTCATTAGATTTTGATGGTAATAAACATCGTATATTGGAAAGCATTGAAATTGCAAAGCAATGCAATGCAACATATCGTAGTGGTCCTGAACTTGAAATATGTGGCTACAGTTGTGAAGATCACTTCCTTGAGAGTGACACTCTCTTACACTCTTGGCAAGTTCTGGTTGAAATAATGATTCATCAATCTTCATCAGATATTTTGGTTTGTTACAGAAATTATTTTATCATATCATGGCACTAGTTATTTTTAAATAAATTATGATAATATTAAATTTACTCATTTAGATTGATGTTGGCATGCCAGTGATGCACAAGAACTCCACTTACAATTGCCGAGTTGTGTTTCTTAACAAACAAATTTTATTGATTAGGCCCAAATTACTTATGTGTGATTCTGGTAATTACAGAGAATCACGCTGGTTTACTCCTTGGAGAAAGTTACGCACAGTTGAAGATTTTTACCTACCTAGAGTTGTGCAAAAACATACAGGTCAAACTATTGTACCCTTTGGRGATGCTGTTATTGCCACCTCTGATACGTGCATTGGATATGAAATATGTGAAGAATTGTGGACTCCAAATAGTACACATATCCCATTATGTATGGACGGCGTTGAAATAATTGTTAATAGTTCTGGCTCTTATATGGAATTGCGCAAATCTGCAATTGTTTTAGATCTGATAAAATCTGCCACTTTTAAAAATGGTGGATGTTATTTGTATAGTAATCTTAGGGGATGTGATGGCCAACGTGTTTACTTCAATGGTTGTTCAAATATTGTGATGAATGGTTCTTTAATAAAAGTTGGTACTCAATTTAATTTAAAAGAAGTAGAAGTCACATGTGCTACTATTGATCTAGAAGATATTCGCAGCTACAGAAATGCTATAAGGTCTAGATCTAGCTCTAGTTCAGAGTCGTATCACAGGATTAATGTACAAAACTTTAGTTTATCAAGAGATACATGTAAAATGCCAGATCCCATTTTAATAGAATTTAAATGTTTATCTCCTGAAGAAGAGATCTCCTTAGGACCAGCATGTTGGCTTTGGGATTATTTGAGACGTTCTAAGCAAGGCGGATACTTTTTACCTTTGAGTGGTGGTATTGATTCATCAAGTACAGCATGCATAGTATTTTCAATGTGCAATTTAATATATCAGGCATGTAAAGACGGTGACACACAAGTTTTGAATGAAGTACGCATGATAGTTGGTCAACAAAATTATTTTCCTCCAAATGCGAGAGAACTGTGCAATCAATTATTTACAACGTGTTACATGGCCACCGAGAATTCGTCTTCTCAAACAAAAAAACGAGCTGAAGAATTATCTTCTCAAATATCTAGTTATCATTTGAGTGTTGTTATTGATAAGGTTGTATCATCTGTGATCTCTGTCTTTGTTGGTCTAACTGGTAAAACACCACAATTCGCTGTATATGGTGGATCTCCGCG